GAACCATAATATATGAAGATTACTACCATGCAATGAAATTTGTTGATTTGTTCATATCAACGATCATTTTTGGTCGTATGATATGAATAAGATACATAAATAAGGAAATAGCAATCTTGTTTCTGCTGGCTAATGACACCGCCCGGGCAGGTTTGCATTCATCGAAAAGACTCAAATTTTTGCATTATCGCGCGGAAATATTCGCTTTTGACGAGAGTGTAATGCAGCAACAACGGATCCATGACGAACGAAATGAAATAGAAGAAACGGATCGACGAACCTTTTTGCAGAACCACTTTGTGCATTTCTTTTTGATGGGTTCATTCTCAACTTTGGTCATTTGCTCGGTCTCGGTTCCTGGAGGAGGATCGATATCGGACTTCAGCGGTACCTGCTCCAATTCAACCTTCTCTTGAGCAGTCGTCATTTTAGCAACAGTAAAAGCACTTGTCGTCGTCTACAAATATCAACACCACTAATGAAAATATTATTATGGTTAATAAACTATATTAACGAAATACAACACACACGGAAACAGAACCTATTAGTGAACGAGTGCCATTAATATAAACATAGCCCATGTCGGAATAACAAAGATAAGTCAATGTTGTACTCAAAAGTTGAGGTCAAATCAACCGCACGCCTAAAAACCCCATCACGTCACTATCGGCTATCATCCAACCTATTCAAAATAAATAAATGAATATACAATTGCCGTGACTCCCAATATACCGAACCCCTTCTTTATGTGCTCTTTAAAAGCCTGAACTAAACTCCACCCATAAGTGTATTGTGGCTTAGTTTGTTTCTAATTTGGGTTATGGCGCTTCGTTAATGATTATATTCGGAGGATTTGATTAGGGAATAGGATCAGAAAGACACGCAGCAGNGCAGCAGACTGTGCTTTCGGTAACGATAGAGGTCAATGAAAGAACGATAATATGGGAGATATGCAGCTGAAGGTGACCGATGCAAATATAATGTGTGTGATGATGATGATGATGGACATTGGTCAGTTTTGGCTGAAAGACGGAATCGTTAGGCTATCTGAGAGGGATTATATAGAGGTGGGCATGGGGGATGAGGGATATGGTTTATCCGCAAGCAAGCATTCCTCGTCCAGTTTAACTACTCTTCTTCAAACACACTCATCTATCTCACTGCTCACATCTCATTTATTTATACGTCAACACATTTGTGCTATACATTCTTCTCGAGTTTCAAATATTGACCTCGACCTCATCGCCGTCATTATCTTGGTCATCATTGCACTTGTTCATTGAGTGGGACGAACGAGGAAGGAAGAAATGCTCATTCGAATAGTATTACAATAATAGTAGCGCTCTATTGATAGAAGAGCAATTGGAAGGATAATTGAATATGATGTATTAAGTCTGAATTGAATTGAATTCAATTGAATATACTAAAAATCCTGATCACAATACCATATCAAATACCATAACACATTTATGCACAGATGAACGATTCCATTTATTCATTTATATCTATGAAAAAGTAAATTGAATGCATAAATATGCATAGATTGATATTACTATGTTAATGTAGTGCAATACTCATCGAATTGTTTATTTTCCAAAGATATCCCCACTAAACATTCAACTTCTTAAGCACTTTCGTGGTGGAAGACGTTTTACAATACCATGATAGTGGTTCAAATCATGATGTAACTCATATTATCACTGGAGCGCGGAAGCGAATTTAATGTAGCATCGTATTTGCGATGAATGAAAATGTGTCGTCGTCGTCGTTTTGCATTTAAATGGCGATAAATTGAAAGGATATTATCACCAAGATACACATGCATATGCCATAAAATCAAAACTTTTAACAGTGGTTATGTGGTCATTGTTATTCACAGAATTTTCGGTGTAAACATTTGAATTGTGCAGTAAATCTTCGGCCAATCACACAAATATTCTTTTATTTCAACTTTACACAAACGTTCTGCACAAGTGTTCAAACCACACAAATCAATGTCATTCGAGTTCAGCCTCTCCATCAATTTCCTCGTACAGAAAGTTGACTTTTGATGCATCATCTCAATTAGTAAGACAATGTTCTAATCAAGGTTATCAATCTACAAGTTAAATGATTGAGGAGTGTTCGTCTTCACTGCAAATGATTGATTAGGTAATTGATCACATAAGTCGTATGCCTGACTATGTAAACTCATTCTCAACTCACACCTATTAAACAAAATACTGCAGATGCTCTTTACCAGACCTTAATGGTCCATCGAAATGCTGCTTTGAGATTGCTCATCGAATTCGAAGCATCAATTTCTTGCGAAGATTTTGCACACGAATGATGATCATCTGCTACAATATTTGTTACTGGTAACTAGCAATGTGCACTCTTAATTGTATTGACCTATACCAGTGTTTGTGACGCTTGCAAGCTTCATTACCTCTTCGATGGTCTGTCTGGCAGACCGTCATTACCCACCCCCTCCTCCTACTACAAGAATTTATTAATTCCATGCATATCGTCAGAAGCAAATCGAAAGCCGAGCCGGCTTTCGTGTGAATGATATTAATTTTCGGCGATGTGAATGAAATTAATTTTCTGGAATGAAACAAGCATTTGTAAAACCATATTTATTAATTGCGGAAAGAATATGAACCTCGGCAATCAAAAACAAAAAGCAATGAAATCAGTAAATAACTGTCTGATGAAATAGGGCACTTCTCATTGCAAATAAAACACAATAGTGCTTGTTCATGCAACAAGTCAGGCACATTCAGTGGAACTGATCATGAATAGATTACACATATTTACAAATACATTCGACCAAGCTTGAAAGGTTCGAAGAACTATCGTCCAAAATTGAACGGATTTGGCTCATGGCTCATCTCCGCAAATCGTTGCTTTCGTTTATCAGACTCAATATCGTCATAGATCAATGACAACGGTGAATTACGATTTCGCGATAACACTGTCTTGAGATAATGCTCTGAAAATCGCTTTTATTAAGTTGTTGAAATCCTTCAAGATATTCATTTTTGTACTGTAACATTTCAACGACACTCTAGTAATTGTCGCAGTGTTCTCCATTTGCAAGCACATACACGAATATGATTTTTGTGAAGATCACTTTCGCAAATGAAATAATTATGTAATGACACAAATCATCATCTTAATGTGTCCATAAATATTGTTTTGGTATTAGGGCAAACAAGGGTCATATATTCATCGTGAATAACAATGACATTAATGTCTAGGATAATGAGCAAGATGAGCGAATGATCTCGCTTTTATCGTGAGCAGTAATTTACACAGCACATCTCGAAATGAGACAATTCAGTAGTCTGCATAAATACGCATGAACATATGGGTGCATCTTTGTAATCGTGCATTAAATACATGATCCCGTTTTAATATATTTGCATTCACATACAGTGCAAGAAAACCTAGTAGCATATTATTCGAATCCCCAACGGGAACTCATCATCCACTTTATGTTCGATAGGCGTTGGCAAATCACAATAACGAAAGATCTTATGATTAGTGAATATCCCCTTTGTGTCTTTGAACTGCTAGTCTAAGCTGTAAGCTAACAGTGAATTACTTTCTGCATTCATTTTACTCAAGTATTCATCTGCGTGATAGGTGCTCTTCTTTCTGAACAATTCCTCACTAAACTCCATAATAAGAGCAGAAAATTTCTCAATGTCATAAAATGCGATCATTTTCTCATCTGATCAACTTTCGCTGCAAACTTCGATTTGAACGACCGTGACGTTGAGATGAAAGAGCAAAATTTTGTTGCTGCTATAAGTAAATTTTGTCGAATCCGAAACGGTATGGGAAAACAGCTTGACGCAGTGAATGCAATATAAAAATGACAAGGTAAGCAGCGAAGAATCAGTCGTAAAGGGAAAGTAGTTAGGTGTACCTAAAGCTGAGTGCCATAGGGAGAGGAGAGCATGCTAAATTAAGGACGGACGATAAAATATGGCAATAGCTCTGTGTACGTAAGAGGGAGTAGCTGTTAAAACGCTTTTATGCGATAATATACTGGATTTTATTAGTTGGGACAAAACGCAATCAACGCATTTGCATCAGTACGATTCAGAAGGGATGAATTTTCTTAAGCAAAACCGTTCTCCACGCAGTCAATTTCGCCATGCTCCTTTATCGCTCTCATGTGACCACCATTCTAAATGCTGCATAATATATTCATTCTAGCATCCATCTCATAATCAATCACTTGCAATGAATGATCTGCGATTGGTTTCATAATCTAATTAGGCATTATTCATCTCATTACGTTTTCATTACAAGTCAGTCATTTCATCTGCAGTGCTCACTCACATAATAGCACAAAACAAAATATCGCAGTTACCGCGCCGCACGCGATAAAATAAGCCAGCAATCTGTTCCAAGAAATTTTATGCGGTCGGTATTTTCAAAAGATCTAAAAATGCAATGAAACCAACGATACGACTAACTGAAATAAAAATAATGACAACAATAAAGTGCTAACAGCCATATTAAACAAAAAAGCATCTCGTACAGTTCAACCAACTAACTTTGTGTTTCGCATTTGGTATCCTTTTTGAAGTAGGTATGAACGTATGGTTCGTAAATGAGTTGGTCATTCAGTTCATCGTTGAATTGTTTATCGTAGAATTCGCACGTGAACACATCGCGACCACCGACAATTCCAAATACAACACCTTGACATTGCTGAAAATTCAAGCAATTTCGTGTTCAAATTCATCAGTCAGCTAGCATCTACTACAGTATAATCTTCTGACTTATTCAGCTGCCCAAGTCAACAACGTTTTATTACACAGCAACAAGTATGTCGTAAATATTTTGGCTATATGAAAACAACAAAATAAACTGTCTCAGCAACTGTTTGTATTCAGTGAACGAACGGTCATTTGTCTCATAGTCAGTATTCACTTAATTATTTATACAAAATTTAAAGCGATACATTATTTGAATCCAAAGAATTTCTCTCAACAAACGCAAACAATCAATCACTCGTTCGAATAAGTATCTCTTCATTCATGTTCGGCGTTGTTCACAATGCCAAAGAAGGAACGCAGACTGTTTTCAATAATCATCTATTTATCGATTTAATTAATGAGTGAATATCCACAAAACATTTGAGTTCTTGAATTAAAATCCGGATCATTTTACTCTCTCTTATGCTACGATTGAACTGGTTGTCGAAAAAGAAGAAAAAACAAATCCAAAGAGCGATTCTCGAACGAACTAATCGAGATAAGAAACAATTGCGTTCTAGTGTAAAATATCGGTCATAGTGTCATTTCAGTAAATCATTTTTTCAGACAATTCAAGAAACGAAAGATTGAGTATGATGGAACGGGAAGGATTTATGATTCGAGTTTGTTGGATCGAGAATAAACTAAAAACTCTTGTTCAAGGATATGAGAAAGCAAAAAAATGTGGTTGAAAAGAGAGCCGTCTTGTAATTCCAGTGTTTTGATTTATAGTTCAGGGTCACAAATGTTGCTCAGATCAATCTCACTCGGAATATTTCATCCGGTTAATCAAATTTCACGTAAAGAATCTCTCTATCGTTCAGCTGTGAACGACTTAGCTCAAGGTTTCAGTAGCGATATTAATTTAAAAATAGCATCGCTTCATTTCTGTAACCATTTTCAAATCCGTCAACACTGTTTTATCAGTCTCTGTGCTTGGCATCATGAAAATATCATCCCAAATATCACCGCTTTCGAAGCATTCGCTACACAAAATAAAGAACATACACTATTCTGAAGACACGTTGCAAGACAACTCTCCTCGCTTGAATCGTAAGGATTTTCGACGACGCTATAGGGTTTCACCGCCAACGGCATATCGCGATCTTCATACTTCACAAAACATGTGCACAGTCTGCAGTGATCCTCGAAATGCTCTAGAAACCAATTTTATTGTTATCGAAACAATTCAGTGAAAAAACAAGTATCCTGTAAACTTATTAATGTCAGCATAACATGCATGTTTCCTACTAAACTACAACTAGCGAATAACTTCAACAAATGTAAATGAAACTCCATCTTACCAGATTTTTGTAAATCTGAAACTACCATCAACTATTACATTTTTGCAAAAGTGGGGAATCAAATAATGCTAAATCACTTTTATTCGAATTTCATTACAGCGAAAGCAAATCAAATTAAAGTGATTAACGTCATCTTCGCGTTAAAATGAGTGGAGTGTAATACTGCTGTGTGAAAGAGTTGTTCCGATCAAGCTGTCATTGTAAACTAATACACAAATTTAAAAAATAAATTTAACTCACTCGGTTGAAAAAATGTTTTTGCATAATCCACATTGAAGTGGAGAAGTGTTAAAAAGATAACGAAGAACAACATTTCAAGAGAAGAGCGAAACGATCTGTGAAGTGAATGATCGAATAGATGAACGACGACGCATCAAATAAAATAAGTGATTATTGCAATAATATGAATTAATTATGTTTCGAGTGCTCTTGAAAACAGGTCATTGATATTTGGAAGGTGATTTCGTTCTTCTGTTCAAAGTCAATGTGAATTTCATCAAATCAACAACATCTCAACATAAGCATCAAAAAGAAATTTTGCTATGAGATGTTACGTAATGCGATATGCATAGTAACTGATATTAGTCGTTCGTNGTTCGTAATTGTTATTCAGATTAGCGAAGATTCATGATGGCGACGATGCTAGATTGATGAGTGAGTGTGCTAGCGTAAAACAGCAGGTGATCATCAATTATCATTCAAAACTTTCAATCTTTATTCAGGTTTCAAACGCTGATTTGAGATGTTTGTGGCAGATCTCAACTGCACGATGTAATGAGAAGGTATCGCCTTCGTTCGTTTACTTCATCTCTTGCCAACAACTCGTTTTGTTTGTTTTCATTGCCGTCAATTATACACAACAACATAACAACAATATACAAAAGTGATTGATTTCAAAATCTTACGATTCATATCACAGTCAGTCATTTAAATTGTCGTTGCTCTAGCAGCTGATATCTACCTGAAAAACTGGATTTGTTTTCAAATTGTCTTCAACAACCAAGCCAATGAAGCCCAAAGCACATACGCAAATGAGCGTCGTCGCTTTATTTATGTTTCAGTTGTCTTGCTTCAGCGGCATTCTCAGCCAGAAGTAGTAATCAACGGTTGAAATTCAATGATCCTGCTTGCTGTTGTTGCGCTGAAACGTTCAGAACTAGGCGCTTAAAATGTAAAAGCTGATATTCTGGTAACACTCAACGCCCTGAATTTACAAGCCAAAGTTTGTTTCCTTTCCTATATTAAGAAATCAAAAAAAAATCGCAGTGGTGAAATTTTTTCTAGAATATGCATTCATTAAGCGCACTGAAAACAGTTTGAAATAGTATGGAGTTGAAGCATATTTTGTGAACAATTTGTAAACACTGCTCAGTTCAATGTTACACGCATTTATCGTTTAGCATTTCATTTCGACTACTTACAATTAGTGCTTTGGCAACTGATTTCATCGATCAGATGCCATTAAAGAGATCAAAAATGTGTTTAAGAGATAAATGGATGCAAAAAGATTTGTTTATTGCTTGTGCTAATTGCTGGTGTTAATGCGAATAGACAAAAACAATGCTAGCAATCATTATTTGACTTTACCAACTTTACAATTCGGATATCTCTATTGATACAGCTAACTACAGGCGATATACCGCCCATTAAGATCAAACAAAAAAA